ATAATCACTGCCACTGTAAAACCTCTCATGCTTTGATGCCTTTAAAATAAAACAAGATAAAACCATTTCCTTTGCTTCCCGACAGCACAGAGTTCTGTAAATTTCACTATTATTATTAATTACAGTTTTGCTGAAGTCCGTGGGCCTACTCTCTACATAAAAAAGCAAATAAAATAATTTCTTGCTTTTATAAAGGACTTCGAAAACGCTGGCCACCAGATCCCAGGATGAGCTGGGAATTCCTGTGAAACCTGGAATTTTTTCCCTAAAGTGTGTGGGAAGCAATCCTGCACCTCACACGTCTGCTTGGATCTAAATGAGCCGGTCAAGTCTGTGTGGTTCAGTGTACTTTTCTTTGTGAATCCTTAGTGTTTCCCCCAGTGCTCACGACCTGTTTGAATCCCCACACCAGGTGATACCTTTTGCTCGTGCCTCGGAAAATTGTAGAACTGGTAAATATGATTGGGATATGTACTACCTTCCCAAACCCAAATGGTTTATTTCAAGTAATGCCAGTGGAAATATATGATTACATGTACAAACTCACCCAGGTCACCGTGATCATGATATTAAAGGTCCATGGCCTGAAGCTGGTGTTTGTTGCCACGTGCAGGTGAACATCTTCCAAAGCGGCGTCTCCTCCACGGCAGGGCTTACTGGATGTTACTGGGGTGCCTGGGGTTCTCCTAGTGATGCTCAGCAGTGCCATCAAGCAGCAGGGAGGGTTTACTTACCTTGCTGCTTGTTTATTGCTAGAAACTGATAATCTTTTTCTTGTTGAGAATATACTAATGATTCTTATAGACCAGGGGATATTTTACTCCTCTACCCCTAACGAATCTCTCTTCTATTTTTACGTGTTGTAGAAAATATTGTCTTTCAGAAGCTTCTTTTCAGTTCTGAAAGTGTTAATTTTTATTTTCCCAATCCTTGGTAGATAAAATTGCGGAGTGGAAAATGTGTGGGAGTTTTTTCCTTTTCTTTTCTGAAAGGTTGTTTTCTCCTGGATCCTCCCATAGGTGCTTCATTACAATTCAATGTAATATGTTGAAGAGGATCAATTTAAATGCATTTTAGACTTTTTCTGTCCCAAGTAGTGAGCTCCTAAAATATATATCTATATATGTGCATGTGTATACATGTATATTTGGCAACAAGGCAGTCCGTGTTCCTCGGGTGAGGGTTTTCAGAGATGATTGGAACTTTTATTTGTGATCGGTGCAGTGAAGGAGCTTTACTCTATCCATGCTTGCTCTTATTGTTAGTGCTGGAAAATAGTTTGAATGCTACCAGTGCTGCTCTGTGGATTAATGAAAGGACAGATGTTTTAGTGTTAGATTTCCGTTCTTACATTCATTCATTAACCAAATGTCATCTCCACAGGGATTGTAGAGCAAAGTCAATACCGTGGCTGGTTGTAGCATTTCTTTTGTGCCACCTTCTGGATCTTGGCTCTGGCATTTTCTGCCCAAGTGTTAATGTAATGTATCTCCTGTCTTCACAGCACAAAAAAATAATCAGACAGCTTTTTCCACATCTCACTTTTCTTTCCTGCCCATGCGAAGGAAAGAAAGCCGCTGCTAAGCTTTGCCCCAGGTACCTGGAAATGGGCTGCTGTTTTTTGTACGCTCCCACTATACTCTCTCCGTGAATCCATCCTTGGGGATGTAGCAGTAGTATTACTTCTGAGTGTAAGAACACCATTTCACTGTGTGTGTGTGTTGGGGCGACGTTCTGCTGTGGTTCCTTCTCACTAGGTGTTCTATTGCATGAACTGAAATTTTGCAGATGTTGTTGCCTAGTCCTGAGGATGGCAAAATTCAATTCTATATTCTTGTTGTATGAACAAAGGGGAGTGGGATGTAGTTAATTTTTAAGCATTAAACTTCATTTTGGTAGGAAAAAGAATGACTCGTGTTAAAAGTTTTGAAGATCTGAAGGTCTTGCTTGGTTTGCCACTGGTTTTGATCCTGGCAACTTGTAGAAATTAGGCAATTTCCAACTCTGTGGAATTTGTTTGAGGACTTTGTGGGGTTTTTAATAACTGAAAGGGAAGAAAAAAACACCTGTAAGAATGCTATACTTTAAAACTTAACTGCTTAGAAATTAGGGGAAAAACGAACCATAATTAAAAGCTGTATGTCTACGTTTATGGTTTAAATCCTGGAGCAATTACAGTAATCACTCGGTCTGTATTATAGAGGTCTCCAGCATCTTTGGATAGTGGGAGGTGGGTCACGTTGTGTTGGATTACGATTATTCAGTACCTGAGAACTCTCTAGTCAGTTGGTGTCCAGTATAATATTCACCCTGCCTGTCAGCTCGTGGGAAGGAATACATCCTGATGTCAGGCAGCCAGCTGGACAAGTTTAGAAGATTTTTTGGTTTGTTTTTTTTTTTTTTAAAGTGTAAAAAGTCCTTGTTTCATATAGACCTAGAAAACTGTTGTCTGTAGTTGCTGGTGGGGTGTTCTAGCTTTGTACCATTTGTTTTTAATGACTCTGCATGTTTTTAGCACTGAAACGAGACCACCTTTGAGACTAAGTCTAATGTCTTTAAAGTATATATGAAAGTGTTAGTTTGTTCTTTCTGAAACTTACGTTGCAAAGCAATTTATAAGGGAGGAAAGAGTGCTGATATTCAGTAACAAAAAAAGCCAATCTGCATAATCTAAAGTTGTCTTAGGATATTCAGCTGTAGGTGAAGAGCTGTCTCTGCTGTCAGCTCACTACACAGTAAATTAGTCTGATACACAGGGAAATTTGCAGGCATCTTAAAACTTAATTTGTTTGATGTCTCCATCTTGAAGCATTTCCTATTGAAAAATTTTGAAATAATTCTTTTGGCTGCTGTTTCCACCAATATCCGTACCTCCTCTTCTAGTCCTCAGGAGTTCAGGCACAGTTCAGACAACCTCAACAGCTTCCAAGAGCATGGCTCCACATGGGTTTTCAGCAGCGGAGCTGGTTTAAGGGCTTCCCACACAGCACCACAGTTCATCTCAGGTTGATGCGGCGGTTCTTAGGACTGTGCTGTAAACTGGATTACCATCTAGATTTAAAAGCAGAAAGAAGGGGGACTGTATCCCGCACCGCTGCACCTTAGAAATTCACTGGCAGAGCTGCAGGTAGTTGCCAAGATGGGGTTGAGCAGGTGGGGCAGAGAGAGTGCATGCGGTACCATGCCCTTTTTGTCTTCAGTTTCTGATGTTTTTATAGAAATCATAGAATTTTATTTTATACAATTTATATAAATCATAGAATCAAGAATCAAGTTACTCATCAGAAAATTTAATGCTTAGGAAGCAACAGCGACTTTGGCAATCTAATTATGGCAGTATTAAGTTTTGCAATATTTTTATATGAGAAGAGTGCTTGAACGGAGGCCATACCAATGACTTTTTTAGGCTTAGTTACTATTCAGGTTTCATTACATTGCTACTTTCCTATTTATTCTGAGGATGGTGATTTTCATGCCTTTAATTACAAGGCTGTAGCTGCATGAGCTCTGCAGTTGTTCAGCCTATATTACGTACAAGCATTGAACTGGGTTTTTTTGACTGACTTTTAATTTGGGGAACTTCAGAAGGACTGCCATTCCTGTAGGTCAGACTGTATGTTAATTGACCCTGTGCAGAGGCTGTGCAATCTTCTCTGATACCCTGAGCAGTAGGGCCTGTAGCGACAGGACAAGGGGGAATGGTTTTAAACTAAAAGAGGGGAGATTCAGACTAGATAGAAGGAAGAAATTTTTTCCCATGAGCGTGGTGAAACACTGGAACAGGTTGCCCTTTAGGTGTTAATATTGGGACACCTTTATATTGCTTAATGTGGCATTGGACACAATATCTAATTATTATTTGTCTTTTTTCCCCCATCTGTTCAGGAAAAACATACTTCCCATGTATTCTTCTGTTTTGTTTTCGAGGGTCAGTTACTCTGTACTGGTAGGTTTGTAGTGATCATGGTGAAACACTGGAACAGGTTGCCCTTTAGGTGTTAATATTGGGACACCTTTATATTGCTTAATGTGGCATTGGACACAATATCTAATTATTATTTGTCTTTTTTCCCCCATCTGTTCAGGAAAAACATACTTCCCATGTATTCTTCTGTTTTGTTTTCGAGGGTCAGTTACTCTGTACTGGTAGGTTTGTAGTGATAGGAGTATATAAATGTCTTTTTGTGTGTTTGACGCAGCTGGCGTTTACTTTCAGTGGTTGTTGGCAGGTTCTGCTTTAGTGCTTTATTGTTCTTTTCAGCTGATGGTTTTCACTGAGGCATGCCAACAGGCAATTAATGAAGTTACGAAAAATTTGGTGTATCTGATGTGATTGTTGCCTTAGTATAATAATATTAGTTAAAGGAAAGAGGTGCTTAGCTTGAGGTTAAATGTCAGGCTGAGGATTCTTTAATTTATGCTTTTTAAAAAGATGTTATTTCCTATGATAGTTCCTGTAAAAAAAAAAAAAAAAAAAAAATCAAGTTCTTTCTGTAGGCTGCTGTTCTATGTGTATTTTCAGTGGCATCAAGCTAAGCATGGCAGCATTGAAGCCACAAAGGTAGTACTAACACAAATGATGTCGTGACATCATTTCACTTGGACAAACAATTCACTTTTGAATATTAGTTTCCTGTTTTATAGTCACTGCACTTCAAATGCATGTTGTCCTGCCTGATACTAGGATGACTGAGCACTGGAAAGGCTTGCCCAGAGAGGTTGTGGAGATGTTCAGAAGCCACCTGGACGTGGTCCTGGGCAGCTGGCTCTAGGTGGCCCTGCTTGAGCAGGGAGGTTGGACAAGATGACCTCCAGAGGTCCCTTCTCACCTCAACCATTCAGTGCTTCTGTGACATCTATGTAAACCAGCTGATGGGCTGGTAAAATTAAGTGCTTCATAGAAATATTTTACTACTGTTTTGTAATGAATTTTCACTTCAAGTACAGGAACCCAATTGACTGTGTAACCATTTTTATTTTCTTTCTTCCCCCTCTCCTAGTGCTGACTTAAAGCTCTTGGAAGAAGCCACAATTTCAATCTGCAAGTCTTTAGGTGAGAAATTGTGACATCTTAACTTTTTTCCATGTGCTTGATCAGAAAAATAAAGAAACAGCCTTCATGTGTGCATCCATGTCTTCAGTATACTTAACTCTACTTGTATGTGTTCCACTAGTAAGTTTAAAGTAGCGTAGAGAGTATGTTTATATCTATCTATCTGTATCTATCCCAAACTTTTAGAAACTTCCATCATTAATGGTTTTGTAGAACTTGAAACAACTGAAAAGTTTAAAACAAATAACTCCATCCCTACTACCTCTTTCCCTCTGCCCTCTAAGCTGATCAGTAAGGGGAAAGAATTAATCAGAGGACGAAAGGAAGGCATAACATAAATGTGATCAACGATGTTTCAAGAAGGTAAAAGCTAGCTGTGAAAACCTGCCCAGTTTTCTGACAGGAGACTATTGTGCTGTAAAGAAGTCTTGGAAAGGAAGCAGTGTGAGCTCCACATTCGGGATATTTTAAATCTGGGATGAAAAGTATGTTTAGAGAACAATTATGGAGTAGTAAGGCATGCACTGGAGAATCTTAAAAGAAGAACAGCAGGTGTACAGAAAAACAGACATACTATGCTTTCTGTAGAAATATTTAAGACATTGAAATTTGGTTTCATTCTATATGTTGTTTGAACTAAGTAGTGTCATGTTACGCATGCTATATAATCATATCGTATTTTTCCTTATCTAGTTGAGAAGAATCCTCGAACAGGAAACCTTGGGTCATTGATTAAAGTCTTTCTTTCCAGAACCAAAGAGTTAAAAATTTCAGCAGAATGTCAGAAGTAAGTACCCGGAAAAAAGCTGTGCATGCCATTTCACTTTTTAAATGTTCCTTTTGCTGCTAGCTCTTTGAGTTTTTTACTTTGGTAGTTAACATAATCACAGGCCAGAACTTGGAATTCTCTTAAACCGTTGTTTGAAACTGAACAGGTTTCTTCTATTCTTCAGAAGAAGAAACTTCTCCAAACACAGAAGGTTAAGTGTAATAGGTAAATAGATTGCTGGGGAAAAAGACATGTTTGTGTTCATCCTGTGTGTTACATAAACGCATTTGTGTACCAATGGTGTAACTTCTGGTTACTACTGGTTTAGAGCTGTTTAAAAATCACCTGACCTTTTTAGCTAAATCTTAATGTAAGAACCAGTATTCTGTCTTGGAAATATTTTAAGTTGGATTGGATTTGAACACAAACTTCTATATAAAGACATTGCTTTCAAATCATATCATGCAACTGCCGTTGCTTGTCCCTTTCAGCGGTAGGAAAGAACTCCAAGAGGTTACGTGTGCAGCACTGCATAGTTTTTGCAGGTAGCTTTCTGTAATTGTTCCCCCACACCTGTAGACAAACATCCAACAAGCCCCATCAGATCTGGGGCTTCAAAAAGGAAGAGTTTCTTTTGAATGCCCCCTTGCTCCCGGGGCTGCCCTCAACCTTTTTGCTTATATCTGGAGGAAGAAGTTACTCCTGCCTGGATAGCTCCTGCTGCTTTAATCCAAAAATACCTTGAAAATACCTCTTCAAGCAGGAGCTTGACTGTATGGGCTTCCCAGTAGTTGCTTATTGGGACTCAAGAATAATGTAATAAAGCTATATTCCCCTTGCATTCAAAAGCTTGGAAAATACCTGTGTGTTGCATAGCAAAATCTTGCTATATTGTGCTCCTGAAGTCCATAAATGCCTACGGTCATCTGAAGGCTATTTGACTGGAAAAGTGCTAAGGTTCGGGGAGGCCAGAGTAGCTTTCATATCGAAGCTGTTGGAAATTTTCAGATGTCTGGGTGGCTTGAGTCCATAGTATCTAGAAACCTTTAGAAGTATGCCGAGCCATCTGGTGAGCTCTTCAAAGAGTGGTACTTCTGGCAACTGTGGTGTTTTTAGCAATACAAACTTAGTTAGGAATAAGATTTTTTTCTTCCCCCAAAAGAATACACACTTCTTATAAATACGCTTCTGGTTTGTTTGCTGTAGCATCAACTGTATTCTTTTGGGGGAAGAAAAAACACTTCTTATAAATATGCTTCTGGTTTGTTTGCTGTAGCATCAACTGAAGACTCCCTGCTTAAGCACTTTGGCTTTTCCTTGCTTCGGCTGTAGGAACCCCTTTGTCTACTCTGGCATGTATTTTCTTGTGTGTTTTGATGCATGTTCGCAGGTTAAGCATTACTGATTCTTGTTTGTTTCTGCTTCTTTCCTAGTCACCTCTTTATTTGGCAGGCTCACAATGCACTGTTTATTATTTGCTGTTTGCTGAAAGTATTCATCAGTCGAATGTCAGAAGAGGAGCTGCAACTTCATTTTACTTACGAAGAGAAAGCACCGGGCTCATATGGTGGGTATATGCTAGTGCTAGTGAAACAAACATCCTACAAGAGTCTAAAAAGTTCTGATGTTTGTAGACATGGCGCTTAGGGGCATGGTTTACTGATGTTTGGTGGCGCTTAGGGACATGGTTTAGTGGTGGACTTGGCAGTGTTAGGTTAATGGTTGGACTGGACTCTACTAAAAAGTTCTGATGTTTGTAGACGTGGCGCTTAGGGACATGGTTTAGTGGTGGACTTGGCAGTGTTAGGTTAATGGTTGGACTCGATGATCTTAAGGGTCTTTTCCAACCTAAATGATTCTATGATTCTATGTTTTGTTTAGACTAAGAATCCCAAACTTTGCTTTAAAACTAGAAATGAAGTACCCATGAGGTTACATACAACGTGTTTACTGTTCGGAACAACCTGTGAGATTGAAAGTATCTAGTCAATAGTGAAACTGACTGACTTCTTTTGGGGTCTGAAGTAATTCAGTGTAAACCATCTGCCTTTGTATCATACATGTGAAAGAGAACACTTTCAAAATGTGATGAGAGCTTTTCATTACATGTTGACTGCTGTCTTCCGCTAGAATTAAATGTTTGTTAACAAGCTGCTGGCATGTTACAGGTTCTGATAGCAAAATAGACCTCTTCTAGAGCAGGGTTTAAGTTGTTTGGTTTATTTTTTCTTTAAAGATTTGTATTAAATTTAACATGGTCATTTATTTACAAACTTAATTTGGCATTTTTTTAAACAGTTGTTCAAAAGTGATGCTGTAGACCTATCTTGGCTTTAGTTATTTTCGTGCATTTTGAAATGTGGTAACGGTCCTCTTCAGAAGAACAGAATAGAATTGGGGTGAAGCTGACCACATGCTGCTGTAGGAACGGTGATGTTGCAGTCATTTAGTGTTTCTTTTCACATGTGTTTCATAAACCAGCAGCAGCCAGGGAGTGGAATTAATGCAATTTTTAGGAATCTAGTGAGGAAAGATAACAGTACTATGGTGAGAACTGATCCATTGAAAAGGCAACTGCTAAAATTTAATTAGTGGGCAGAAGTTTATACAAGAGTACAGGAGAAGTGAAAGAATTTAGGCAGAATGTTCAAAAATAAGTGCATCTCCAGGAAATGGAGCATGTATTACACGAGATGAAAGATGGCAGGAAAGATGCTCAAGTAATCTAGCTGTTCTCTTTCTGCTATCCAGTCCTTCTTTTTGAAAGTGAATGATGTGAATGCGTTCAAAATCAGTTTGATTACAGCAAAAAGAAAGTCGTAACGCTGTCTGCCACAAATCTTTGTGTAGCGCCGTATCAAGATGCTCTTACAGAACACGGGATGGAGCCTTGATTTCCTTTGCTTTGTTGAAAAGATACTGTTGAGTTTGTAATTGCTTGTTGTTTATTGCATAAAGCCAAAAATGGTCTGGACTGGTATCAGAGTGCTCATACAGTGCCAGTGAAGTGTGGAAGAACAACCAGAAGTATCTGACTGTGAATTTCTCTCAACAGTCTGTCCAACAAGGCCACGCGTTGAAAATGCCTAATAGCCGCTTGCTCATTGAATAGCGAAAACTGTTCACTAAAATCTGTTTAACTCCTTGGCGCCTGCCATTGCTCTGGGGAAATTAGACTTCTGGTGCCAAAAGATTAAGTGCTACATGTTGAAATGGTTTAATGTATTTAAACTGTGATGAGTAATCTCCAAGAGTGAAGTCAGCTAACCGATGCATTAAAAAATAGCACCAGCTTATAATAAGCTATCATTGCAGACTGCCTATGGGTTTATACTTGGTTTCAAAAAATTGCCCACCTCTTGCTTCAGTGGTAGAGTGTAGCACAGCAGAACGGATGGAAAAGCTGAGACGTTTTGTTAGCTTGAACCCCCGGGATCTTTATTCCTTGCGCTGGGAGTCCCTCGCAGCATGGTGCGAAAAGTGCTTCTTGTCACTGGGGTGGATCCATGTTTATACCATCTCTAGTAGCACTTGACTGTAATTCACAGTGACATTTATTAGCGATAATTTTGTGCACATTGATGGCAAACGTACTTAGCAATTCTCTTTGAGCAGATTGTTCGCTGGATGCTCTTGATTAGGAGGATAATTGTGTGTGGTCTGCTGGTGAGAGCAGGGGATGGAGGCAGGAAAGGAGCTCCTCCTCGGCTCTCCCCGCTCAGCCGCGGCTCCAGTCCGCTGCTGCTTTTGACTTGAGTTTCCAGTTGGAGGTGGTCCTTGTGACCTTCTTCAGGGTGTTGAGGTTCATAACGTGCTGTGTTTGCATAGCCATCATTTTTTTTACTCCTAACAAATCTTCACATTGGATTTTTAAAATATATATAGACAGTACGGTAATAAAGTGATTCCTATAGCTTTTATACTTAGCTATAGGAAAAGTGAAGTATCATTAACGGAGTGTAATAAAATGCTGTTGTGTTAGGGCCTATTAGTGTGAGCAAAAAAAGGTGAAATGTTTTTTTTGTATTTTCATAAAGTCAAGTGTAACTTTCTTGAATTTTCTATTTTTTTTTTATTCTTTGGAAACTAGAGCATGCCTTATTATTGTGAAGTTTTACATAAATTTATTACTACTTTTACTAAAGTTGTACATGCTTAACACTATCTCTGGTAAGCATGCTTTTTAAGAAATTAAGTTCTTCCTAGTTGTCCTTGCTGTCTTTTCATTTCCCAGAGCTTGATATTATTTTACTATTTTTCAATTGCAAGCATGATAAAACAAACCTTATACAATACATTCTTATATTAATTATATAATGTAAATAAAATATGCATATAGGTAAAAGCTTTAATACAGTCTCTGAATTTTGAAGTACTGTTTACTTATTTTCTTAATGGCTGGTGAGTAGCTATTGGAAAGAACAGTACAGCCAGCCTCTCTCTCCTGTGATCTGTTTTTGTATGCGTTGTTCAATCTCACAGCCTTCTGAGGAGATCATCTTAAAACTCCTTTGGAAATCACCGTGTGGTGGTGTTTGTTTCCCTGTTTAAACTATGAGCATCACCTTTTTTTCCTTCTGGTCTGAGAATATATCCTCATACCATGTTCTCTGAGTTTAAGTATGGCACCTGGGAACTCAGAGTGCGTAACCGCAGTGTCGGCGCGTCAGGCTGCTCACGCTGCAGTCGGTCAGAGCATCAGCACCTGCTGTGCAATATTCAGTATGTCAGGCAGAAATGTATAGCGTACGATAGTAATGACATATGGAGAATATCCTTGTCACTGCCTACTCAGCAATACGTCTTGTATTTTGACAGGTTATATATGACACAGCCGCTATTGTTTAGTGAGCTTTTTTGATAACTGTCTTAACTGGAAGAATCGTCCTCCCAAGGTTTGCAATTCGTATGCTTGCGCTCTATTGCACAAAAGCTGTGCAACTGTGCTTTGTGTCATAAAATGTGATTGTCGAGGTTTTTCATTTTGCAAAAAGTTTGAGTGCATGGATATGTTGTAGCCTACCATTATAAAGTTGTAATGAATAAATTGCAGAGGATTGGGTCGTGTCCCCCCCAGCACTGCTTATTGATTTCCTTCAAGATAAGTCCATTAATAGGAGTTTGTTCCTTTTGGCAGTTTTCGGATGGTTCTTCGGCCCAGGAAGTGCAACCTTTGCCTCTTCGTCCATAATTGGGAATTTGCATACAAATTTGGAGGATATTGCACAATTTTGATTGTAGGAAAATCCTTACGCAGACTTAAACCATATTCTTTAAGATTCAGCTAAAAAATCCTGATACTAATAAATCCTAAACTGGACTCAGCGTGTGCTGATCTGAAGCTGCAGTTAGTCTTGTTAACAGAAATCGTTCCTCTTTTGGTGAGGCTTCCACTGTCTGTGTCCCATAATTTCTGCGTGGTCTCTAACCGTACTGTGATTCAGAGGTGTAAGAGGGCATGTGCTGTGTGTTGTATTCTGAATCAAACCGTCAGTTCATTCAACCTCTTCCCTGACCTGTAGTAGGAAACTATTCGTTCTCTATAGAGAAGTTTTTATTACAAGGCTGCTAGGGACTGTATTTGGTGTATTACAGTCAATAAGAGGACATAGAGGAGGGAATAAATACCAATACGTTTACTGCAGTTCTGAAATGATTCCATAAGTGTTCAGCTATCACAAAGGAAATGAGGGGTGGCAATTAGTTTATGTACCCATTGTTAACAAGTAATGAATTATTTCATTACTGATGTCCAGGTTCTATCCTATCTGTAGGAGCAACAGGGCAGAAAAACAAGTAGCATCTAAGGTGAGGCTATACCTTGCTATGCCTGAATATCTTATTAACATCGGGTACACCCAGCTGCTACAGCAGCTCACACCAGGTCGTGACAACATACTAGTTAGATTCTTGAGAAGAAAGACTTTTTTACTGTCTATGTTAGGCCCTGTATCAGGGCCAAGGATGGAGCTGGGCTGATTCTACCAGAAGTGGAGTCTCCTGGCACGTATACTTTCCTCTGGATAAGCCATTTTGCCTGTGTAGTGTCTGCTGATGCAGTGTCTGTAACATGTGTAGCTTTGAAAAAGTTAAACACAAAGTATTATTTTTTTATGTAAAAAAACCCCAAACAAACCAGCAAACCCAAAAAACAAAACTCCAAACAACCCAAACCAAACAAACCCCACCAAAAAGCCAGAAAACCCACAATGCAAGTAATCCACATGTTTGAGGACTTAAATATAGCTGATAAAAAATGGTCCTTCAGGGTAACTGGACATTTTAAAAACCGTGTGTGTTTGCAGTTACTGCTGCACTGCCATGGAGTTTAGAAGATGCGCCTATGATTCCTCTCTCTGCAAGTCTGCTCTGATCTTATCTGGACAGATTCACCCTTTACTTATTTTTCCCCAAGGCTTTACACGTGTCTTTGATCCAAGTATGTGATCTATTAATGTGAATGAGTATTGTGTGTGTTGTCTTTATCCTGCTATTGAAAATGACATTGTTTATGAAAACACATAGTGTTCCATGTTTATAGCTCGCTCTCACGTTATAGACTTGGCATGCATCCGCCTCATTGTCTTGGCAAGACAAGAATTAAACAAGAATGCCTGTGCCCCATTGGGGAAAAGGATACATTAATTATTGTAGACATTGATTACAGCAATTAAGCTTTTTTTTTAAAAGAAAAAAGTTTGAGAACAGAGCAGGAAAGACTAACATCTTCCATTCTACGTGCTTGTGCTAACCCAATATTTTCTTGCTTTATTTTGAATATAGTGTAGGGGAAAAGCCCTCTTTCATATTCAAATAACATTATTCTCTCTTCAAATGAGTTGTGTATATAGCATGGTGGAAGAAACTATATTCTTAAATGCGCTCACTTTACTTTTTTCATCCTTTTTCTTCTCTCCTCCTCCCCTTCCTCAATTGTCAAGAGAAAAAATTAGGTACCTTTTGGGAACTAATAGCAGTCTTGCTCTATAAGCGTTTTCTAGATTCAGAAAACCTTAGGAAACTGTCACGTTCAAGTTACCTTAGAATACATTATCTGGGCTTTATATTGGCAGTGGTTTCTGTCTAAGGTTAAATACTCCTAGCAGTTCTTGGTTTTTACTAACAGGAGCTACATTGTGTTACTCATGGGGGATTCTATATAAAGGCAACCAAGTTTCTGTGATAAAAAACTGATTTCCTTTAGAATGTGCAGTTCACTAGGTGACAATTTTTAATGTGTTCTTAATAAACCGATTGTGGAAAGAAATAATTTTGCTGTATTGTGAATATTCCCTCTGGTGTGCTTCTTAAAACTGAGTTCTGGATTTAAGAACAAACTTGGGTTCGACAGAGTAACACTGCCATAATGTGGCTATAATGTTGTGTTTATTGCAGGACGTATTTATTTGAAAAATACAAAATAAACAAGCATTTGGGTAATCATTGTGCTGCAATGCCCTAATGCCTATCAGGTAACGCAGAGGGAAAAACTATGCCTGCTCTTAGGCCATTCAGCACTATAAACCCCTACACTTCTTTGTGTTGTAGGTTTCTCTTTATAATTTTATTTTGAAAGCAGAAAAAATCCTAATGAGCCAAGAGATTTATCTTCCATTTTTTTTGTATTATATGACAACTTCAAATGGTTTAATAAGCTTTTTCCTCAGTAAGTCTTGCAAGTCCTTTGTTACGGTTGCTTTTACAAAATACAGTGCTAATGTAAAATACCACCGATTTTATTGCTTAGAATAGTTGCATTTTAAAAATTATTTTTAATCATCCCATGCATTTTGTCACATTGTGTATGATTAGAGAATAGTTTCTGCTCACTTAGAATGCATTTTGGAAACTCATGAATTCTTACTTGTCATTGAAATGTGTAAAACCTCTTCAGTAAGTAAATGTATATTCATGAAAAAATAGTGTGTAGATTTAATTGCCTAAGAGCAGCAGTGATGTGTACTGTAGGCTGCATTCATTTGACAGATCACAATTTAGAATATTGTTCAGTGTATGTTAGACAAATGGAACTGTGTTTTCTATCTGTCTCTGCTTATTCTTCACTTGGGATTAAAAACAGGGGTGAGGAAATATGCAGAGTGCAGGGAATTTTGGGAGGAGACTTGAGCTGTGGACCAGTTAGAAGTCACTAGTGATCAGTTCAACTGTTAGTAATAACACCACTTAATATGAACTTAGGTAAGTAGTAAAGTGAGGCTTCATGTGCTCAATATTAGCATATTCCTACAATACCAACATCTTATTTAATTTATCCAATTGTTATTAGTTATTTGTTTTATATATAAAAGGCTTAGCATCACCATTTTCTCTGGTGATAATCCCAAATGCCTTCTAATTCAGGAAAGAATGCTATCTTAAACAGGTAAAATTTCTCTTCTAGTGTTTGTTCCTTAATTAAAATATCAATTGTCTAGATCAACGTGTTTAAATCTATGCTTTCTTTTGGTATCTGAAAATCCAGAAAACCTTTGGTACGCTTCTTTTCAGGAACAGAGTGTGAAGACCTCATAGAAGAGTTGCTGTGTTGCCTCATCCAGCTCATTGTTGAAATTCCCCTCTTGTAAGTTGGCTTTTTTCTCTTCTTTTCTTTTTTTTTCAGCCTCCTTGTATAAACTGAGCATTTGAGAGAATATAAAACTTAGAGTGATGGGGTTATGATGTGTAAATACTCGTATTTGAATGTTCCCTGTGATGGTGCAGTACTGATAAGGATAATGATAACCTGCTGCCAGCACCAGCACTGAATATTCCGTTGGAAGAAGTACATGATCAGCATCTCACACCCAGTTCAAACGGTCAACAGAAGTTATCCTATTTTATTTTGTAGGAGCTTTGGTGTTTGTTTCAGGTACCTCTGTCAGCACACAGACAGTTACCGCTAACTTTTGGCTAGAAATGGTTGTGCTAATTCTACAGGGAATACATTGGAGCTGTCACTTTGTCTCTGGGGGATGCAGCAAGGTGCAGACAAAAGTTCCTCTTCTGCAGTTGTGTGGGTTTTTGAACTGCGTGTGCATTAAGTCATATGACTTATTTATACTAATTTCTGAGATACCAGCAACTTGATGTCCGGAGAAGAGATGAGCGATGACTAAGTGGAATGTTTCTGTAGGTCTCCAGATTTGTTTACATGGCTTTTTCCATGCATCTGCTGTATTTGAGATATGTTGATTCCACATCTCACTGGGATGTGTGTCATGAAGCATACTTAAGTATTATATGAGGGAGAACTTACTTTGTTCTTTGGAAATAAAAACGTTTTTCCACACCTGTCCTGATAAGTTTTAACTTCTTTTTTCTTCAAGATAGTGTTAGCAGTATCTTTTGTGTTAAACTGCATTGTAGTCTGTGCTTAAAATGTAGTGCCCCAATTAAAGCATCACAGCTTTGAGAGAGCCTTCCAGTACCTGAAGGGGCCTACAGGAAAGCTGGAGAGGGGCTTTTTCAAAGGACATGTAGTGATAGGACAAGGGGTGATGGCTTTAAACTGAACGAGGGTAGATTTAGATTAGATATAAGGAAGAAATCCTTCACTGTGAGGGTGGTGAGGCACTGGAACAGGTTGCCCAGGGAAGCTGTGGCTGCCCCCCGCCTGGAAGTGTTCAAGGCCAGGCTGGACGGGGCTTTGAGCAACCTGGTCTAGTTGAAGATGTCCCTGCCCATGGCAGGGGGGTTGGAACTAGATGATCTTTAAGGTCCCTTCCAACCCAAACCATTCTGTGATTCTATGATACAGCTCTGCTGCTGATTTAGTTTTTGTACTTCGGATTGTTCTTTTGGTTGGAAAGCTGACAAAGATGCAATAGTTCTTGAAACATTGCTCTCATTAAATACAACTCTGTCAGCATTACATGAGGGTTTGGGTAGGTAGTGTGTAATGAATTAGTGATATGATTTAGAGTGTCATTCTGCAAAGCTTGTCAGGACTTCCTGGAACAGATACACTTTTTGTTTGGAGCAGATTAGAGGAAGTACAAAGGGGTGAAAGGACTGCGGTATATGGGCAACTTCATAAATCCTGCAGGGTTTTATTTTTCTTTCTTGGAAGTCCCAATGTGTGTGTGGAGTCCAATATCATTTATTCTGTCTTTCTGGCAGAAAAAATTTTACAGGCATGATTGTTCTTAACCCTTTTCAACAACTGAACCTGTCAGCATCTCCATTTCTGTGTGAATGTGGTTGCTCGGAATGGAAGTAGCTGTTGAAAGCACTTAGTTTTACTATATAATATAGTGATAATAATGGCATATTAAAAAAGTAGTAGTTACAAAGCCTGTCTACAATCTTTAATGTTCAGCTACATCAAAAACATACTCTTCATAAGAGATAGATGTGGAAGGTTTTGGTTTTTTTTTTTTGTCAAGTAAGTTTTCTTAGCTAAATTTTTCCTGAAATAGCACGCTACTGAATTGTTAGTAAGATATTAACACTTACAAAAGTGTATGTTATTGTCTTGTTTACCAGTATAATGTGTTTAACACTGTGATAATGCCTTAACTAATGATTTTATCCCCGTATCATCGAAGGGGAGGTAGGGTAGGGGAAAGGAGATACAGAAAAACTTGCCTTCTCTAATACACAGTCCAACTCCATTCTTCATAAAGATGTTATAAGGCTGAGACATTTTTGCTTACTGTAATATTAATTTTTGGGGGGGAGAATGATCAGGATTATTTTAGTAGTGAGTTTACTTTTTACTTCCCTCCCTCTCCCTCATCAGATTTACACTATAAATTCTTTCCCTACTTTGTATCAAGGGAGTAGTTAATTTCTGTCTTTAGCTGGAATAAAGCAAGAAAATTACAGGCCTAGTATGTGAATTTTGGGAAGGAATAGATTGTCTGAGTGGAATACATGGAATACTCAAACTTGTAATGATTTTTGTAGCAGGACTTAGGATCACTTGCTAGAGGATAGGCAGCTCTGGCAGCTTACAGTGGCGCTGCTAACAGAGTATCTGTCTGTAAAGCTGCTATTAGAGATGAATTTTTGTTGTGACAGACCATTAAAATCTCCATGCTGAGCCTGTCTTTGAAGCGTCGTCATTCAGAATAGCAAAGTTTTTGTTAGGAGCATTCAATAGCCTTAACAGAGGATTGTCACAATTACTGTGTCCCTTGGGTTCTGTAGATGCAGTTTCATGAAGGAGTGGATACAGCTGGCAGCTGCTGTCTAAATATATTGCTTCTCTACACCCCAGTTTAAGCTGCTTTTTTTTTCTCCTTCTCTGAAATACTAAGATTATTTTTAAAGCATGGAAGACCATCTCTACGTCCAGAATGCAGGAGCAGAGGTAGCTGTGCAACAGTCCTGCACTCTTTGCTTTTGAAATTGTTCTAAAAGTCATGTCAGGTGCTTTTTGGTGAAAGCGGTACACTTCAGAGGTACTATAATTTTTTTCTCCTCTCTATGTATAATTTCAGATGTGCTGTCTTAACGGTTTTTTTGCAAATGTGTTACTGAAAAGTGGAGAGCATTGCTGGATGAAGCTGTGTAGATTCTGTTACGGAGTAGTGAGAAATATTTTATTATTCTTCACAGTTGAGTATCACGTTGTGAAGATATATATGTAAGAAGTCAGGGTCTGTTGGGAGGAGAGCTTAGGACACCTGTGTGTGGTATTTTGCAGGCAGGTATGTAATCTTAACCCATGTTCCAGCCTGACCAAGAGCAAGCATAAGACTTTGGGCTTGGCACGGGCACCGAGTTCATGAAGGCGGCTCAAGTCTTTCCTGAGCACAGGCAGAGGTTGCTCACCTCTGGGCTTGCTCTACTCGAAGCCTTGGCAGAATGAGCTCATGTCTGCCTACAGGATAACCTACAGACATACTTGGAAAATGCAGGTGGGCAGTCTAGCTCAAAATTAATAAGGAAAGGTGTAAGATGGGGAAGATGACAAATGGTAAGTCTGCAACCCACCTCTCCATATCCCTCACTATGAAATATAACTGAAGGACCAAAATGCGTTGATTTTTGGTGGGAAAGGCTGCAGAGAGATACAGCAGAGCATACCTGGGAGTGTCTCAGAATTGTCTACGAAGAATTTAAGAAACTGTTTCTCAAAGTTAGTTTGTACTGGGAAAGGCAAATGCGCTTTAAGGCAGTTAACACTCAGCATAGCTAAAACAGGTCGTAGTTGGGACCATGGGACTCTGCAGCATTGTGGCTCTGTGTCTGAGAGTTATTAAAAAGATCTTGAATTACCCTTTTTGAAAAATGGGCTCTGCTGCATTGTACAAAATGCCAAGGAAAAAGATTTCACATATTAACATTTAATTTTAAGAAATTTTATCCCAACTACAGCATTATTGCTTTTCAAGAATTAGACTTGTGCAATCCCTTATAATACTTGTGTTACGGTGTGTTGATGTTTGATTTATGGCTCCCTTGGGTATGTTATGGATACTCTGCTTTTTCTTTGGTTTTGTTAATGTTAGCACTCAAGAGTGTACATTAATGATTAAAACTGCATAGTCAGCAAAAAGGTGCAACTTCAGTATTTAATTGTATGACTTTTATGTAGAAACCATTGCTAACATTTTGTTGCAAGATAGAGCTCCCAAAGCTTAAAATTCTAAAGGCTTCTTTCAGCAGCTTGTTAAGAGCTGGTATACATAACTGCACATCTGTTTGTTATCAGTACATTTTCACTTCATTAAAAACTATAAATGCACGTGGAGGACAAATGAAATACCGCGATCTAGTTAAATCACTGTTAAGTAGCACCCTGTGGTGCCAGTGGAAGTTGTTAGTTGATATTGCTATTACATTCCATTATTTTCTGTAGTTACAATTGGTTTAGGTTGCAATGTTAGTTATTTCCCAATTTAAATGTTAACAATGTTTTGACTCATTTAAGGATGCTCGCTGCGTTTCCTGGGAGCTTAAAAGTTGACTGTAGAAGGAAGAAGGGCGACATAATTGATTATAAAGCTCTGCGGAATCATTGCTGTGTAGGAACAATGCCACGTACAGATGATGAGAAATGCTTAGGCTTTTTTCCTTGCTAATTGTGAGTAGTGAAGAAGTTAACTGTTTTCTCTCCTATTTCAGGAGTGTTCTATTTTAATTTTTTTGTTACTTTCAAAACAATAGGTCAGAATAGTGCTTTTTAGAAAAGAACTATTCACGGAACTTTTATCAAGATTGTAGTAGCTCCAGTATTTGAAGAGCTATTTGACTTCAGCATTTTTGGCAACTTTGCCTAATCATCAAAGGGAAACTTTCATCTGTTGAAGCTTAGGTTGAAGCTAGCAAAAATGTCCAAACTGAAAGAGATTTGTATTGCTGCACTTTGAAGATCCTCAAAGTTTAATTCAAATTATTGTGCTCTGTGTAGAAGGGAACTGATGAGTATAAAGGGAGTTTTATTTGCTGCTGCACCTTGTGGTGGTGCAGCAAATAAATATATATTTATTTGGAAGATTTTCTTCATCACTCTTACATCCTTTTCTCTTTTCTGATGGCAGATATGTGGCCTCTTAAGTGTCGAAAGGTCCTGAGCAGGAGAACCTTTATCTGTATCACATTCTTCTTTCTGTTCTAATTCTATTCTAATTT